CCGGCGCCGCCGTCGTCGGCGGGGCCGGGCGGGGCCGGAGCGGCGCTGCCCGACCTGCGAGTGCGACGAGGCAGGCCGCATCGATCGGCTCGGCCGGCGAAGAACCTTCAACAACACAGCATGCGAAGCGCTGGACAGGGCTGCGGCCGTCATTTGACAACCGCATGTGTGGCATAAAATGCCCGCCGACGGATGGAGCCCTGAACCCACCAACCAACCCGATCACGTGTCACAGCCAAGTCTGACTGCGCGCGCACAGGGGCACACCTGTGGGCTGCAGCGGCGCTTCCGTAGTCATCGAGGGGCCACGTGACGCCTTTGTGCTGGAACATCAGCCGCTTAGTCAGCGCCACGTACACGCCCTCCTTGACCGCTGCAAACACCCGTAGCCGGGCGACACATGCGCCCTGAGGCAGCTGCCGCACCGCCTCGACCAGCTGCCGCGTAGCTTCCTGGCGGGGCGGATTCGTGGGGCAAATGAGGTTGGGCAGAGTCGAGCAGCAGTGTGTAGTGGCTAGGGCAGCGCCATGGCATGCTGTAAACTAGAGAGGTATCAGCTAAGGTCCAAGGTGGGGCTTCGCTGCACACGACAGCGCCAGCAGCAAGCCAAACGCCGCCTCAACTGAGCCACCCCTGAAAGCACATGCTGATCTGAGACACCAGGTACTGACTGCGGCTCTACTTGCCACAAGCTGTTCACCACACTCTCGGGTTGGACAAAAAACGAAAGCTGCCGGCCGCACCCCCTGTGAGCCCAAGCATTATCATAATTGTGTCGTACGTGGGCATCCCAGCCTCGCTTCCCCCTCCACCGCCGCACCTCTTGCCCTTCCGTACTCAGCAGGTCCCCCAGCCCAAAGCTCCTGACAGGCTGCCCATCCAAACCCTCCAAATTTGGAGGCCCTCCCACGAGCAACGTCGCGCCCCCCGCCCCGCCGCCGCCGCCAATCCCGCCGCCGCCCCCGCCGCCGCCGCCGCCGGGCGCCGCGACGTCGAGCGCGTGCACGAGGTGCACGCTGCCGCGGTGCAGCGCGAGTGCGTGGTCGACTGCGCCGCGCGCGAACAGCGCGGCGGCGCCCTTGACAGAGGGCCCTGACACTAGGTGGTGCTCCTCCGCCTCGACGCCCTCGAAGCGCGGGTGCTCGTACGGCGGCCTTTTGTTGGCGGGAATGAACACACAGCCAGGGCGGAGCGAGGGGATGTGAGTGGTCCGGGAATGGCAAAAAAGATGGTGGTGAGGAAAGCGGCGAGGGTCGATCTGGTGCTGATTCTGCCGCGAGTCAGCCACCCGCGGCTCTGTGCAGAATCGCGGGCGCCCCTTCTTGCCAGATAGCACGAGTGAGCGC